CTCCCCCCTCTCTCTCTATCTCTCTCTTTCGTTCTGTCTGTCGGTCTGTCTCTGTCTCTTCCTCCCCCCCCCTCTCTCTCTCTCTCTCTCTCTCTCTTTCTCTCTCTTCTAACTTACAAAGAAGAATGTCGGGCGCTAATTCAAAGAATACAACAGGAGACATGAACTTATGACACACAAGTAAAGCTCTAATCCACGATAAGCTTGCGATAAATTGAAAACAATTAAATGATAAGTTCGTTATTATACAGAAAGGAAGGAGAGTGGGTGGTTGGAGGGCGCCACTGGTAGGTCCTACTTCTTTACTCTCCCCTCTGTTGTTTCTGCCTGTCTGTCTTGCTTTTTCCCCAGCACTTAAATGGCTATTATTGTGTCGATGTGCTTGTCTTTACTAAAACAAACAAACAAACAGAAAGAAGAGAGCCATATAATTCCCTACTCAAATACCATAACTCACGTGCAAGGAAAGAAACTCGTTGATGTTCTTCAAATCCCGTCGAGCTTTCTGCCAGGTCTTGGAAAATCTAATAACCTTTTTCGTCGTCAGCTTTGCGCTGCTTCCGGTTCTTTTGTCGTTAGCCCCGGACAACTTCTCCGCCACCCCAGCAGACGACTTTTCCTCCTGCCCAGCAGACGACTTCTCTTTCTCACTAGCAGACGACTTCCTCGCCACGATATCGCTGTTGGAAGCGGGATGACAATTGTCAGCAAAAGTTTTGATTTCATTAGCAGGTCTGCCCCCAATCTTTGGCCCCTCTCCGCCTCCAGCATTGCTCTGGATGTCGTCAAACGAGCCGACTTCCACTTTCTTGTTGCTGCTAGCATTGTCACTGACGTCTGCTGGCTCGGGGACTTTGAAATCATGGAGCTCAACATCTCCGACGCTGATGGAGGACCAGGAAGGCAAGAAGCTGCTATACTGGGAGCTGAGAGTGCACAGTTCTGTGGCGAGGTTGGGGACTTTGATCGAGCTCAGATCCACAATCTGGTTTTTCAGCTCCAGTAGTTCGTTGGATGTTTTCTGGATGATGTCAGTTACATCCTTCTCATCCTTAGTCATCGCAGACGATAGTTTCGATCCTTTCGTCTTTTTAGGATCCCTCTTTTTACTGTCTTTTCTTTTTTCGCGTGCTTCCTGTTGTCTTCTTGAAAGTTATATCCGGCAATTTCTGTGAGTCAGACTCGAACAGATGTCACCACTGCGTGATGTTGTGTGTGGAACTTCCGAACTAGATGTAGATAATCAGTCTAGAAAAAGATGGCGCCTTCTGAGCAGGGATCTCTCGTCTCACGAGTCACAATAATGTACTGGATAAACTCCGGGGGAAATATTGAAGCGTGTTCTTCTCGACTTTCCTCGCTGTCTGACGCTCCTTTCTTTTCATGGACGCCTTGGTGTCTTTTCGACATCGACATCGCCAATACCGCGTGAGGCCATTACGATATTCTAATAATCTAAACCTTCTTTTCACACCCCGTCAATGCTATTATAAAGATGGCCGTCGAAACTGGCTGGTGAATACGCAGAAATCATTCCCCTCATTTTCAGAAGGATCCTGTGGGTTCAGTACCGTTTGTGATGGACATGTTGCAACTACTGTTTCTGTGATGGAATTTACGAGACACCTTTGTCTCTGTACGATGATACTGTCGCTCCGACAAGAGTTGACGGGATGTTTTGTTTACATCCCCTTTTTTGTTCTCAAGTCTGTGATCACTTGCGGTGCTGTGTGGTGCGCGGTACAAAGTTGTTAGCACAAATCATTTATTTTTGAGAACCATTATGCCTTTTGTTTTAATTTCAACCGAAACACATAGAGTGTATTGGGTGTTTCTCAGAATGACAAGACCATGGCGGTGACATCTCTTTTACTCCACTGATCCATTCTCTTTGTGAGAATTATGGAATGAAAATAGATACAGCTAAGACAGAAGTAATGAAGTTCTCCAAAACCAAATCCCATTTGAAATGTCCACAACATACGACTGCAGTGAGTTCAAGAATTCAAATTCCCTGGGAGTGTATCCCGTTTGTTCGTTTGTTTCAGTAAGGTTTTACGGCGTTCGCAACTGTATAAGGTCATATGAGCGCCACGGGGTGGATGTCAACAGAGAGGTCCAAACGGGGAATCAAGCTTTCTCTGCTCACCTCTCTAGCCTCAACAGCACTCAGTCTGCCTCGACTATCAAGGCACCCCGGAAATAGCAGTTCACAAGAGAGTGACAAACATACAAAAGAAGTAGATTTTTGTTTTTTTGTTTCGAACTCCGCCGTGTGCTGGCTGACTAAACTGACGTGTCATGTATTCCATATCAGACGGGCCATTACAAATGCAAAAAACAAAAGGAGTCAGCTACCAGCTAGTACCTCTTCTTTCTCTTTGAAACATCCCAATGGAGAACAACAACAACAACAACAAAAGCAACAAAAACAACAACAGTACCAACAACAACAACAACAACAACAACAACACCAACAACAACAACAATAACAACAACAACAACAAAACACACATACACACCAAAGGAAAAACAAGTAAAAAACCCAACACAAAACAATCATAGTCAAATGGTTGGACACGTTCTGAGAATGGGGCCATAACAGCCAGCCTCACACTCAAAGGCTTGCCAATGAGAATCAATAGATTCAAAGCACGAGGAAGACCAAGTAAAAGATGGGTCAACGGAGTAAAGGGACCCAC